CTTGTCTTGGATAATACTATTAATCGAATAAAAATAAATTGTGGGTTGGGCTAGTTAAGCATGGATGTTTAATGTAATGTTATATTGAACCGGATAAAGTCATGGCAGTTTTATCCGTGAGGATTTTATTTCCATGACAGTACCCATCCGGAGTAGTGAGGTTCTAGGATATTGGACCTCGATTTATACGATTTATACAGCAAACAAAGTGCTAAATAAAACATGTATTTTTAAGGAGTGTTTATGTGTCAGAAGACATGAGAACAGTATTTAATTTCTCAAACAATCACAGTGTAATATAATTTTATTCTAAGTAATGTTAAGACTAAAATACATTAACCATTTTCGATGTCACAATAACATTTCGTTGTTATTTTTCTATTGGATCCAGTAAATGTGCATGCATGCGATACGATTCGCCCTAAGTGTAGATTTAGTGTGTAAATGACGGCGTAACAGTTAGTATGACAAGGATATGGAGATAACAAACAGTATTCAATATCAAAGTCCATAAAACAATACAAAATATGAACAGAGCAAACACGTATCCCCGAAACATCAGAGGTGGGATCAGGTGCCATGGAGGCGTCAGCATCCCCTGTTGACCGGTCATATCCGCCGTGTGCTCCTTGTCATGACCAGGAAATAACGGGAAAATTGTCAATTCAGTGTATAAATAATGGACTAACAATTAGTATGAAATACGTCAGTCAGAATTTGACTTAATGATAAATTGTTTTTGCTGACATGGTCATTGTATCGATCATATAACTTACAAAATAATGACTTTTAATGAGACTGCTGATACTATTGTTTCATCAACTTGCTTGTCAATAATTTAGAAATTGTTCGAAAGTAGAGCATGCTCTTGCGTATCAAATCAACTGAGATACATATACTCCGTATGCATTTGATGAAGGTATATTGTTGCATAAGTAAGGGAAGTTGACGATAGAAAAGTTAAAGTCATCACGGTTATCATATAGCTTGGTTGTTAGATTACCATAAACGTCTTTTCCAAGTAAAATATCCAAGTATGAAACAGATGTGTCAGACTTTGTGGTATATTTGATTTCAAGCTCACCAGGATATTTCGTATGGACGTAGGAATTGAAAATATCACTGTTAATTGACAATACGTCGTCGATATATTTACATGTCGAGTTGATGGCCACAACAAGTGTTTTCTTCTTTTCATGCATAAGATTTTGCACAAATTCTGCTTTATATGAATATAAAAATAGGTTTGCTTATAACGGAGCGCAATTGGTAGCCGTGGAAATTTTAAAGATTGTTGGAATATCTGATCTCTAGAAACGACATTGATTTTCTCAATCAGAAACTCAAGCATCTTTTTGATGCAACTTTAGAGTATTTGTGTGTGGGAAATCAAAATGTCTTTTAACAGAATAACTTTCAAATGACCAATGACCAGGTAAGTAAATTTACCAGTTCCACTTTTATTGATAAAGCAGCCGTCAATGATATCAAATAGCCTGAACTTTAATGTGTAGTGGGGAAAATTTGTGTATAAAGCTGAAAAGTCGTAAGATTTTAGGCTGTTGATTTTGGTAAAATATTGTGATTTCAAATTGTCTAAAAGTTCTTTGGATTTTTGAGTATCCACATCTGAAAAACTCCACTTCTTAAATATATTGTAGCACAGTACTATTGAAGTTTTTCCTTCACTTCTGTCAATATCCTAGTGAGGAGTAAGGAAAGAGGCTTGGTTGAACATATACTGGACCCGGAAATGTATCTTTGTTAGGATTTTTAAGAAGTTTCGGAATCCAATTGCTATATGAGTAAGGAAAATGTATGATAGAAATTTTCAAAGTCCTCCCTTCATCAAAAGGTTTTGTTGTTTCAGGGGATTTCTACTTTTGGAAGTGCATACATTACCAGGTAAACAAACCTGTAGATGTTTTTTATTTCATGTACTTGAGCTTTAATTTCATGTTTGTAAAGTTTTGAAAATCGTAAAATGATACTATTGATTCTGATACAATTACTGAGTTTTTTTTAGTTTTAAGTTTCATTATACCAGGAGAGAAATTATACAAATAATTATTTTTTCGTGTAATTAAATACTTAATTCAAACTCAAAATAACATTAATGTTGGAGCATCCTGAAGTTTTCTTTACAATTTACATCAGATCGGTATGGATTTTTCAAGAAAACGTTGCAACAGTTGCATTCAGCATGGGTTTTTATATTTGAATGTATTCATATTTTTATTCGAGATTTCAAATTCATAGTCTGATTACATATGTTACAGGTTCATAGAACCAAAGATATTATTTTTTAGTGTAATTAAATACTTAATTCAAACTCAAAATAACATTAATGTGGAAACATCCTGAAGTTTTCTTTACAAATTAAATTACATCAGATCGGTATTGATTTTCCAAGAAAACGTCGCAACAGTTGCATTTGGCATGGGTTGTTATATTTGAATGTATTCATAATTTTATTTCGAGATTTAAAATTCATAGTTTAATTACATATGTGACAGGTACATAGAACCACCCACATTTTAACTATATATATATGAATGTTTTCTAATTTCCGTATATTGGTGAGCGGTTTCTTCAAGGTAATTTAATATATATTATCTAAATTTATTATATAATGATATAATATATTGTACAATATACAGGCATATTGCAATCTAAATAGTGTTTTTGTTTTAGCTAGCATACTACTGTATACGTGGAAAATTCTGCCATGTTGTATTTTTGCCCTTTCGCCCTACCTTTATTTAGGCGAATTTAAAACAAAGCAAATTCAAAGCATGCAGTATAATTTCTTAGGCAAAAGTATAAGAGAGCGAATTTAAAACGGTAAAAATACGTTTGTAAGCGTGAAAAGGCGAAAATAACACGTAAAGAAAATAACACTGTACAAACAAATTATGCTTAATATTCATACTAAGTTACATATATTTAACTATCTTTAGAACTCGAAAGATGCTGTGTTTCAAAGCTGCTGTTTTTGTTATTTTCTTATCATTGTTACCACTTGTGGCGCCGTCAGGTAAATTTTAAATCTTAAATTTGTCATTTAAATTGTTACTTTTCCGGTTAGCACTTGTTCATTTTGTTGTTTTAACTTGCAATTTCAATTATTTTTAATTAGTAAATAACCCTCAATGCCGTTTTTACATAAAAGACAATAATTTGTTTTCTGTGATGTTTTGATGTTTGAATTCAATCAATGTATTTTTAGTTGCTGGGACTAGTTATATGGATAATGCAAGCGAAAAATAATATGTTGAATTTCATGTTATTTTCATGAACTGTACCATTTTTAATTAAATATTTCGTGAGCATATAGCAAAAATGCCAAGTTTAATTGAATTACATAATTGTGGTTCAAATGATCACTGGAAATCTTTAGAACCAATTTTGACTGTTTCTTTATATACAAAAAAGGTAATACATGTACATATTTTTGATTGATGTGTCATTATTCTTTTTGTAATACTGCAGTATTTAACTTTTCTATTGCAGGTAACTTTATTGCATTTAATGCATATCCAACCAGATCACTACACCTGAACATAGGTTCTACCGTCAACGTTGTTTACGATGGTGTGTATTACAACTATGGAAACGCGTACAATAGGTATACTGGTGTCTTCACAGCGCCATATAACGGGCTTTACGTATTTTCTTGGGCAAGTGTCGTGGCACCCAACAAGATGTTTGACTCGGAAATCCTTCTCAATGGAGAAAGAAAAGGACTGGGAAACTGTAATAATCTTAAAGGTCAAGGATATGCAAACTGCTCCAGAACATATCCACTGGTTTTGAAAGCCGGAGATAGAGTTAACATCCGTACTGTTGGTGCAAACAACCTGATTGCATATTGGTCCAGTTTTTCTGGATGGAAAGTATAAAGGCAATTATATATTCATACATACTTATGAATTAAAGCAAGCATAATAAATCACCTTTTTGTACTTTTCTTTTTACGAAGATGGAAAAAAATATATATATGTTGACTCCCCAAATATGCTTACTATATTATCCTAGATTACTCTGACTCTTACTCCTGCTTTTTATATTTTGACATGAGCACGGAAGAGTCTGAGAAGAGACCTTATTGAAAAGTAGGAATTCAGCGACACCAGCTGGTATCTCGATTTTGCCTAACTTTTAATTTTTTTTTCGCGGATCTAACCCCCGACACGCGAGAAATCACTAGATGGGTGCTTCTTATACAACTATAGGTATATTCGATTAAGCGACACAAGTTACTGGAGTAACTAGTGTTGTAAATAAAACGGGACACCTTGGACGCGTTTGACCATCCCGTGATACGAGAGTATACTCCTCAATTTACCTTGAAGAGCAGGTGAAAAAAGGCGGAAAGAGAAGACGCATTGTAAATACGAAAACTGCTTCTGGATAAAGTTGTCAGTGTTTGTATTAGAAATTTACAATTCAATGAAAAAAGTCTTGAATTTTATTTTTTTTAAATCTTAGATTAACCTCGTCAATTATCTTTTGTATTTTCATTGAAAGTTTTTTTTATATATTTTTTTTTTTATAAAAGAAGCTTATCTAGCCTTTTTTTTACACTTAGACTGCCTAATGTATTAATTAAGTAATATCTGAGAAATGTTGATATATTTTAATAGTGACAAGGAACAAGGCCTATTGAAAAGAAATCATGTAACTTGCTGCACAAAAAAAAAAACAGAATTGTTTACGATTTCTTGACTGAAATATCATGTAAATAAATTATGTTTATCTTCATAAGTTCTAATTTGCTAACCTTTATCATTGGCCCAATATCTATAGATAATACTTTGATTCAGGGTCATCAGTTGCAATTTTTCAGCAAACAGATGGGACATTTTTTTTTCTAAAAGATCTGAATGTGTATTGCTGACAATATTTATGAGAACTACCCAGAATACTTATGAAAACAGCTGACAATATTGGTGAACAACTGAGAATATTCACGAAAAGTACTGAGAATATTTATGAGAACTACTGATATTATTTATGAGAACTATTGAGACTATTTTTTAAAGATCTACTGAGAATATTTACGAGAAGTTCAGAGAATAAATATAAGATTCATGAAAATATTTATGAGAACTATCAAGCATATTTTGAAAAAAAAATATTAGTTGGTATCAACTTCAGAAAAGGTTGGCTAAATTCATGAGAATATTTACATGAACATATTGAATTTTTATAATACTTGCATTGAGATTTCTTAAAACATATCTTGAGGCACGCAGTTATGATAAGGCTGTCCGAAGGCTTAAAATGCCTTGAAAGTATACATTTTATTCTGAGATAGATTTTAATTTTAGAAGGTAATCCTTGTTTGAATTTGCAGTCAATTTGAGATAATAGTTTAGTCAGGTTTTATTTTACAGCATTTTTTGTGATGTCACATGACTGTGTTGATCACGTGACGGAGATTTATGCTATTCCTAATTGTTGCACAAAAATCGCTTCGGCACAAGTGAAAAACAAAAATATTGTACAAAGTTTGTTACATAGATCAATTCATCGTGATCTCTAGTACACAGAAAGTGCTGGGGGCAGGTTTCATTTTTACTCGATTAGAAAATATTTTACGAGAAATTCAACTTACCGACATAAGAAGGGGTATTTTCCACTCTTTATCGCGATTTATACAAAAATGGATAAACTACACACAATCCCCCAACAAAATTCAGTCAGAGGACATACTTCTCTTGTAAATTCACACAGAAATCTTCATTTTGTCCTTGTTTATCACTTGTGCCAGTCCAATATAAACAAGCTTCATAAATTTTAACTCTGTCTACGGACGTGTAAGGGGAATGTATCACATATTATTTTTACTATTGTTTGAATATGTGCATATCGGATAAGCAAAAGGAATAGGGATATTTAAATTTCAAATGTTCAAATCATAACAGCAAACTCGAGCTTAACAAACAATCCTTACCCTTGAATTAAACAATAAGTCTCCAAAATAAATCTACATGCCATGTAATAATTATGACACTTTCCCCGTCATGTCAGCTCAAGTATGCAGGGACTTGACGTCATATTCTATTATGACGTCAAATCCAGGTAGTTCAGCGAAGTAAGTACAGTTTGAACAGTCTGATATTTTACGGGCAGCCTTATCTTAGCTGCGCATTTTTGAGCATGAAATCATTCAATGTTATGTAGAAAAAAAAAATCACGCTCATCCATTGATTAACTGAACACTTGCAGAAAATAGCACTTGTAAGAACTAGCATGACGAACAATTGTAATTGTCCTCATTTATATGTGCCACAAACCACTTTATTAATATTACCATTTACATATTAGTATTTGCTGAAAATGTATGTGACGTGTTCTTTGTATTAATATCCTCATATACATGTAAGTGTTCAAAACAAAACTTTGATCAGTTGATGTAGTAATTACTTGCAGTTGTTGTTTTATTTGCCCACAGCGATGAAAAGTTCTTTATGTGCAGATTTTTGTCAAGGTGATGATAAGTTTTCTTTTAGTTCAAGAGGGGGCAGTGTGTTACAAATTCCATAACATTCATGATGAAAACCTTGCTAAAGAATATTGATGATTTAAGTACACATGACATTAATACAATATTGAGGAGGGGTGATACACTGTACAGAAAAGTGCACACAGAAGATCAAGTTAATGGTCTACTGCATGAAGAATTGCCTGATTTTATTATTTATTTTATTATTTATGAGGGTAGTTATTTTACATTCAAGAAAATGAAAGCAAGCTTTGGATGCATGTCAATTGAAGGTGGCAAAGATAGACTAGGAATTCCAGTGGAATTCAGTTTTTGCAATGTCCAGGTGTAAAAGTGCATGCATCATCATTTTCCATTCTGCAGCAGTTGCTATCAAATACCATTCTCAATCTGGTCGCTACTTTGTTTTTGATTCGCATAGTAGAGGAGATGGACTTATTGTACTCCTGATGTAACAGCAATTGTTTCAGTCTTTCAATCACTGCAGGATCTTTGTTCATTTCTTTGTCGTCGTCGTGCGAACGGGGAATTAATTTATCAAATTCATATTTCACTAAAATTTGAAACCAAGACTTTTTTTTATTTTTTATAGTTATCTTCATCAGTGAAAGATGTCCACACCTGCACATTTTTTGCCTATTATTTCCCCATGCCAATTTCAAAGCAAGCACGCTAACCGCTTCCCAGTACTTTCAGTACTTTGATTATGGTTTGATCGTAAATCTAACAACAGCAATTATTTTTTCAATTGCTTGAAAATTCTTTATTTCTACGGAAAGAAAATAGACAACAAGAGAAATAAAGAAGAGGGTTGAATCGGTGTATCTGACAGATATGGACAAATTTGAATGAAAATAAATTCTTTTTGATTTGTTTGTTGTTGATCATCCCTCTCGATAAAAATTTCCTTCATATTGAGAGGCCACCACTTGTCGGTAGAGAGTACAAAACTACTCAGCACTACCCCCCACTTCTTTCCTAACATTACTTTTACTATTGAAAATGTTGATTAAAGACATGTAGCCCATCCTGTTAATACTAAGGTAATATAAAGGAAATGCAGTATTGTATGCAAAAAAAGGTAGTGAAAGAAGTCGGCATCTTAAAAAATTTGGATTCTCAACTACCCCCACCACCCCCACCCCCCCCCCCCCACACAAACACACACTCACACACCCTCACACACACTCACACACACACACACACACACACGCACACACACATACACACACACACACACACACACACACACACACACACAACACACACACACACACACACACACAAAATAGGATTTTCGAGCGCGGGCAATTAGGTTTTTAAGCTTGTCAACTGTTCTAGGTAAGTAAAAAAAATGTGTCTGGCGGCCCTCCCCCCGCCCACTTTCAAAAACTATAAAGTAAATGTTTTTGAGAGAAACATAAAAAGTTTTTCAATTATATACTCAACAAAAAAAAAAGAAACGCATATTCACAATTATATGAAAATCTAAGTTTTCAGTTTAAACCTTATTTTGTTTAAGGTACATTAATACTCTAATAAGAGAGATAACTCCTAATGACACAAATGTCTATTATTCCTTTATACATTTGTCAAGTTTAAGTGCCTTTTTTGTCAAATTTTGCCCCGCAAGCCATGCTATAATTGTTTGTATTTTATTCAGCATATACATTTGCTTTGGAAAATCATAAAAATTCGAGAAAAATTTCGTATGAGTGAGCAGAGGGTTTATGACCCTTAAGTGGTTTTAGAGTGTGTTGTGATAAATAACAAATATGTCCTATGTTGCTAATTGATTTTTGAGTTAGAATATTGTTTGTTTTTTCATATACATCAGTAAGTTAGTACATGTATCATTAATTTAAGGGAAAACCGTGACAGTATGCTTATATCTGAAGTACCGGATGCTAATTTATACCGGATGTCCTTCAGTACCCCAGACCAGAATAACGACGGAACAACAGCGTACGACTGTGCTGCCACCTACCGAGCTGGGTGGTGGTTTAATTATTGTCACCACGCCTTGCTCAATGGACAGTGGTCTCCTCAATACTGGTATATGCCATGGTATCCCGTAATTCCTGATGGAAGAGAAGTGAAGGAGACACTAATGATGATAAAACCGCACTAAATTTGTGCTTGAATCTCCTTATTGAAACATGTATACTGGTATCTACCCTTGAATCCAGTACTTTCTGATGGAGCTAATATGAAAAAGAATCAAAAACACGCCTCTCAATCTTTCTTAATTAGAAGCTCCATATTGGCCGAATCACGTTTTCAATTTTGTTGTTATTTGTTCCCTTCCGGTGAACAGGGTGGGACTCTAGGTTGTATTTGGTGTGTCCATTTGTCTGATTTTTTATCCATCCAGCTTTTCGTCAG